TATTTTCCTGTGAGTGGCAGCGCCAGGCTCGCTCTTTTCACTTCTCTGTTTGATTTGTTTTGTTTTGTTTTTTGTTTTTCCTTTCCCAAAGATTTTGTCTACTGCAGCAAGCTGCAGCCTGCCCTTTCCAGCTCCGAACAGCCTCCCTCCTCTCAAGCTCCGTGCAGCTGCCTCTCGGAAGTCATCTCTCCCTCAGAAGCCAGGTCTCCTTCAAGCGCCCTGATGGCTGTCCCAACCCGGCGTCTCCCTGGAACCACCAGCAGATCCGCACGAAAGCGCGTGGCAACGAATACCAACCGAACAACCGCAAGCGTAAACGGACCCACGGCTGGATCAAGCGCATCAGCACGCCGGGCGGCATCGAGGTTATCCTCCGGCGTATGCTGAAGGGCAGGAAGTCTCTGACCCACTGAAGGCTCTGGCTGCTGGGGCAATGTGGTGTGGGGCGAGTCTGAATCAAGCCCTAGAGCTGCTGCAGCTTTGGAGTGACCCAGTCTGTGCCAAGGGACACTGCCTCACACACTCCTGACACAACAGGGACAATCGGTTGCTGCTGTAGCAGCGATCGACTGTCCCTCTTATGTCGGGAGCATGTGAGGAATCGCACTAGTGGCCTCTGAGGGCTTTGTGTAACGGCTGCTTTTCAAACTGTGAACTTACCACTGCTTTCTGTGCACGGTTTGAGGGTAAACGAGAACTGTAATTAAAGCCCAGCGACTTGCCTTGAACGTGCTGTGCTGATCGTTAATGCAAAATACAAGGGGGGGAGGGGAAAGATGGCTTGGTGGGATGGCGGGAGTGTGGAATTAGGGTTGAGGGCAGAGGAAACTTTGGATTTTGTTTAGTCCGTCTGTGTCTCTGCCCGCTCCGCTCCTCCGTGCCCCTTGGGTGCTTCAGGATTGGGGTCCTGGTTCTCCGAGCCGGGGGCGGAGTGGAGGGGAGGAATTGCCTTCTCCTGGCCACTCTTCTCGCAGCACTGCTGCTGAACTGCCTCGTTCCTACCGCGTAATTAACAGCGCCTCGATTAACGAGGGCCAAGGGGAACGGGGGCGCGGACTACGTCTCCCAGCATGCCCCGCGGCCGGCGCCACATCCGGGTCCTCCCGCCCTGCACCCGGCCCTACCGAGCGGGCATTTCCTGCCTCAACCGAACCCTACGCTCCTCAGCGCCGCGCTGAGTGACAGGGACGACACCCAATAGGAGACGAAAGCGGCGCGGCGCGGGCCAATAGGCGCGGGCGGGGCGGGCAGCGGAGGTAGTGGGTGGGTTGAGGCGCGGCGGCGGGGGAGGGGCGGCTCCTCGCGGCGGTGAAGATGGTAGGTGCCTCGCGCCCCC